TATAATGAAGGTGTGTCTCACGGGGGCACTGGGTGGGCCTTGCCAGCAGCTCCCACTTGCTATGGTCAGCAAAGCAGAAGGCTCCCAGGCCTCGCAGTCACCCCAGCCTGGTGTGGACCAGTTGCTGGGAGACCACAGTGTGTGGCCCTGGGGAGTGGCAAGTGTTCCCTCCCCCCGGCCCACCCCACCCAGCTGGGCTGCCCGGAGCTCAGTGATACTGGTCTGGTCCCCCTGGGCCAGGCTTTCCCCTGTCCTGTTCTGGAAGAGCCGCTGGAGGACCCTTCTGTCCTCACAGGAAGAGCCCCTCGGTGCCCTCAGGTTCCACGCCCCATCTTGTCCATCATAGGGGTGGCAGAGAGGACCCAGGGAGAGGCCAGAAGAGATTCCCAGGCCCCAGGCTCATCTGGGCTGCTGCAGAGACACTCAGTGTGGCCTCCCCTGAACTGTGAGGGGTCCCACACCCCTAGCTGAGCCCTGAAACCAAAGACTCAGCGGAGGGCACCCCAAGGGTGGAAGGGAGCTGCCAGATAACCACCTGGTCCAACAGGTACACTGTCCTGCTCACCCTCCCTTTCGGGTCTGTTGTAAGTTTTTGTAGTAAAAAAGTTAACAGTGGGCAGTAAAATCTTGACTTACACAGATCTTTTTATTTATTTGGACTGCTAGGCAGAAATCTCTCTGCAGAGGAGTTGGAGAAAGGGTGTCCACTTATACATGGGTGTTGTTGGACAGCTTTGAGGATTCAGAGACCAGTGGGGGTTACACAGTAGAATCCAGACCTGAGCGGCAGGACCCCACTGTGCACCCACCATTCCCTCCGTCCTCCCTTCAGAGCAGTCGGGCCGGGCTGTGTTTGGATGCTTCCAGGATAAAATCTGCCTTTAGGGCTCCTTTGGAGGCTGGGTGGGGAGGGCAACACACAAAAGGGTTCTCCTGGGGACAGCTGGGTGCCCACGGCCACACTTCTGGGGCAGCGGTCTCTGTCCAGCATCTTCACCCCACAGCCCCATGGCCTCCTTTAACACATTGCTGAAAGGCAGAGTGAATCTCAAATTGGTCCCTGGTGCCCCCTCACTGGCCCACACAGGGCCTGGCTCGGCCTCCTCAGGAACTGCTGAATGTGTGTAAGCTGTCATCTGCCGAAACCTGAAACCTATGATTTAAAATGCCCCTGCTTCTCTATGAACCCACCCATTTTGTTCAGATCCACCAAGGTACTTTCTGAGTGCAGATGCAGAGGACCTGCTGGCCTCTGTGTCTCTGTCTCCTTCCTAATTCCCCCAGTGTGAGGTCTACCTGGATGCCTGTTTCCAAGGTATGAGGCCCCCACACCCCTCTCATCTTCCCCTCATTGAGCCCAGGAACTGTTCCCCCATTCTGAATGCATAAGTGAGCGTCCAAGTGGAACAGGTTCCACACAGACTGAACCCCAGTCAGCAATGACAGGGAGACCCCACATTCATTTGTTCATTCCAGGAACACTAGTTGGGTACCTTCTTTGTGCTGGGCTAGGTAGCCAGGGATCCTCCAGGCGGGGAGAGCACAGAGAGGCACCTGCACTCAGCAGGAGAGGCAGGGATCGCTGAGGGAGGGTGGCCCAGGCCCAGGCAGGAACTGGGCTCTGCCAGTGAGAGGGACAGATTGCTCAGGCTTCCCCAACCGCACAGAGGGAACCTGCTTCTCTTCCACAAAGTAGTCACCACTGGTGAAATATCAACAGCACATTCCAGGGCCCAGCCAGCAGCCCCAGCCCAGCCTACAGCCAACCAGCTCCATCTGGAACCAGCAGCTCCACCTTTAGACGCCCTGGGCAGGGCAACCGTTGCCAGGGTCCCTTCCAGCCCAGACCGGCCAATTCTATCAAGTAAAAGACGTTTGAGATGTTTTTCCTATCTGACACACAGGCCCCCAATGTGTCCTTGGAGGGAGCCTGGCTCAGCCTTCTAGCCCTGCCCCTGACCAATCTCAAGAATGCGGCAGAATCCCCCAGGCCCTTTGGCAGCAATCAGAGCAGCCACTCCTGCAGGCCTAACCCGCATGACCCTAACCCTTCTTCCCTGGGCAGCCACACCAGCCCCTGGAGCCCTGCCCAGCCCCAGCCCTGCCCCTCACCTGCCTCCTCTGGAGGTCAGGAAAGGGCTGAGGAAGGACGCAGGAATCCAGGGCTCAGGGTGACAGGCTTTCCCGCGCAGCTCACTCCCGGCCCTCCATCAGTGTCAGAGCTTTTTATCTTCTGGGTATATACAGGAAAGCAACGACAAAAGACAAATGAAAGGAAAGGAGAGAGGGAACCAGGCAGAAAAAAAAAAAAAAAGAGGGAGAGCGAGGAAAGAAAAAGAAGAAAAAAGGAAGGGAAG